CCCAGAACAAGAACTTACCGACTTCATCGAGGCGGTAGTAGTGGGATACGAGGCTACTGTGAAACATACAGTGATGGCCGTTGTTGATGGAAGACAGACACTTGCTGCAGGGCAGGACCACGTGGTAGCCCACCACACACCCACTGCGGGGGAGAGAGAGAGAGACAGTTTTACAACACTTGCAACATAAATAGGTCACACAAGTGCCAAATATTAGAGGTGTTACTAAAAAGTAACATACAAAGAAAAGGAGGAGGAAAGAGAAGGACGATAGATGTTTGATAGGAAAGAAGGAACAAACCACGCATCAAGAGAGGAGATTGTTTGCTTCAGTAAAGAGGAACAGCGTATGACACAATAATTGTCAATATGTGCTGGGAAAATGTAAAATAGACAGACAGACAAACAGAAAAAGCAGAGAAAGAAAGGAAAGTAGGAGGTATCTGTGGCGCCCTCCAACCATGTGGAGTCAGAAAAGTTAAGAAGCTACAACACCCTCCCCTCCCTTCATCCAATACCGTGGTTTAAAAAAAAAAAGAACAGCCACATCAGCTCAGTTGATGTCATGCTGGACTACGGAGTGCACGGCCCTGGTTCGAATCCCAGACTGGACATTCCTGAGCTCGGGTTGTTTTGCGGAGTTTTCAAAGCTCTCAACCCATTTGGCTCTGTCCTAACGGAGACGGATGTTAAATTCGGAGGTTGTGCTTTTTCAATAACCTTATCTAAAGGTGTTGATAGGGGTGTTTAACCCATACACTTACACTTACTAAACTAATCTTCAAGGAATACCCAACGTTTGAGTTTGAGCAAAAACAAGGTAGTGCTGACAGAAATCCGTGTTGACAGAAGGCCATATGGGACAGTCACTAGTAAAAAATTATTAGGAAGAGACAAATGCAGTTGATGGCCCTGGTTCGAATCCCCAAAAGGGCATTCTGAGCTTGGGTTGTTTTAACGCAGAGTTTCTCAGGCTCTCAACCCATTTGGCTCAGCCCTATCAGAGATGGAGGATACATTTGGAGGTCGCGTCTTTTAGATAACCTGACATGGTGTTGAAAGGGGCGTTAAAACCCAGACAGTTTCCCACTGACCAACTCAAGCAGCCCAGGTGCTGGATCCTGCACTTGCACTTCTCTGTGGTGAACACCTCAGGAATCACGCCCACAGAGCTGGGGAGGACAAGCAGGGAGACATGATCAAACAGCATGTGATAATCAAAGTCAGACATGATCAAACAGCATGTGATAATCAATGAGAGACATGATCAAACAGCATATGGTAGTCAACCACAGACATGATCAAACTGCATGTGATAGTCAACCACAGACATGATCAAACTGTCAGCATAATCTTTACTGTTAGTCAACCACAGACATGATCAAACTGTCAGCATAATCTTTACTGTTAGTCAACCACAGACTTGATCAAACTGTCAGCATAATCTTTACTGTTAGTCAACCACAGACATGATCAAACAGCATGTGATAATCAACCACAGACATGATCAAACAGCATGTGATAATCAACCACAGACATGATCAAACAGCATGTGATAATCAACCACAGACATGATCAAACTGTCAGCATAATCTGTTACTGTTAGTCAATGGGAGACATGATCAAACAGTCAGCATAATCTGTTACTGTTAGTCAATGGGAGATATGATCAAACGGTCAGCATAATCTGTTACTGTTAGTCAATGGGAGATATGATCAAACAGCATGTGACAATCAAACACAGACATGATCAAACAGTCAGCATAATCTTTACTGTTAGTCAATGGGAGACATGATCAAACAGCATGTGACAATCAACCACAGACATTATCAAACTGTTAGCATAATATGTTACTGTTAGTCAATGGGAGATATGATTAAACGGTCAGCATAATCTGTTACTGTTAGTCAATGGGAGATATGATCAAACGGTCAGCATAATCTGTTACTGTTAGTCAACGGGAGATATGATCAAACGGTCAGCATAATCTGTTACTGTTAGTCAACGGGAGATATGATCAAACGGTCAGCATAATCTGTTACTGTTAGTCAACGGGAGATATGATCAAACAATCAGCATAATCTGTTACTGTTAGTCAATGGGAGATATGATCAAACAGTCAGCATAATCTGTTTCTGTTAGTCAATGGGAGACATGATCAAACAGCATCTGTAACATAATATCTAATATTTTTATATTTTCTCTTTACTCAAACAAACTCTGTCATACCTATCAGATTCTCAATCTCCCCTTCTGTCGTATTCTCAATATCTCACCTTCTGTCCTATTCTCTATCTCACCTTCAGTCGTATTCTCTATCTCACCTTCTGTCCTATTCTCTATCTCACCTTCTGTCCTATTCTCTATCTCACCTTTTGTCCTATTCTCTATCTCACCTTCTGTCCTGTTCTCTATCTCACCTTCTGTTCTATTCTCTGTCTCACCTTCTGTTCCTATTCTCTCTGTCATATTCTCTATCTCACTTTCTGTCCTATTCTCTCTGTCCTATTCTCTATCTCACCTTCTGTCGTATCTGTCTGTAGAGAAGAGTTCAGTTTTCCCGTCTGCCACCAGCACGGCCAACATGCCCCTGCGACACACCGTCTCTCCACACGCCCGGCAGTCCAGCAGGTACACGGAATTCTTCCCAAAACTGGGGTGCAGGCTGGTCAGTACCATGTTCTGTAGACTGTGAAGGAAAAATAGAAGTAGATCATGCTGCATGTCAAATTGAAAATGACTGTTTACTTGATGAGAAATAATAAATAAAAATAGCATTTGTACAGTGCATATCCCCATTCAACAGCGATAAGCTTAATGCACTTTTCAATCTATATTCTACAAGCCTGTTATTATCCAATCAGACCCTAGAAACATTCTCAGCTTCCCAGGAAGCATACAGCATACTAAATGGATCAGAGCAGGGTAAAGCTTGAAATACCAGTGGAGAGAGAAGCAGGAATTATTCAACGTTCAAAAACATTTTTTTTTTGCAGATAGGAAAGGTGGGCCTCCTGACCCCTACTTTCTTCGGCAGTAAGCAACGATAACAACAATACCCCACCATCTGCTAGTTTCCCATGACAACAACAGATGCCCAGAACCACAGCTACAATAACAATGCATTTCTTTTGTCGACCTGTCAAAGATATATACATTGTATATTATTTAAATATAACAAAATTAAATCCACTGCCTAGTGTGTAAGATTCTGCTAAATGCTGTTTTGAAAAGTGACGTAAGATGGAGTCAAACACTGTTCAGTTGAAATGATACAAGAAATATGGCCAAAGTGACCCTACATGATTATGAAAATGAAATTAAATGTAGGCCCACTTTTTGTACAGTATGAGAATATTTTGACATTCATAATAAGACTAAGACAACATGCATGCTGTTACGAGGGTGACTCTTCTTATCTTCTTTTATAGCACTCTCAGATAAAAACTCAAGGGACAACTGACAAGATTCTATGACGCACAGAACAGGTAGGCCTACATTTTTTTTCCATAGATTACATATTACGATGCTCACTTTCTAAAAAAAAGGCATTAATGGTATTAGGTTCCTCGTATTGTTTTCGATGAACCTCATACCGGTTAAGTAACTAACATTTCATGTCACAATATTATTTATAGTACGAAGATATAGACCCAAGTTTTTATAATAAAACGATAAATAGGGTCTTTTTTTTTTTGGTGAGTGTTTTACGCCGCTTGCAACTGCATAAGGTCATACGAGCACGCGGGACACACCAAACATTTTCAATTGAAAGGAAATTTTGAATTTTGCCCGGGTGGCGACCGCAGCCCACTCTCATCAATTTTGGACCACCAAGGGATCTTTAATGTGTGCAACTTGCGCACAGGACCTCTGAGATTTTTTACCCTTGTCCGAGAAGGCTAGGTGTCCTACCAGAAGATCAGGGGGTGTGGCTGAAAGACAGCAGTAAGAAGGAGCCAAGTAGTAGCAGTAGAAAGGCTACAGAAAGAGTTAGGAGCCCAGTGGAGGGGGCAAAGGAGGTGAGGAGGTGGGGGGGAAAAAAAGGAGACGAAAGCAGATGACAGAACATTGCGAGAGAGAAGGAAAGAAGGTGAAAGGAGACAATTTTAGAGAAGAAAATATTTCCGTCGCAACCCGGATTTGAACTCGGGACCTTTGAATGAGAGGCGAACACCTTAACCTCTAGGCCACGAGAGCCCCCCAAATAGGGTCTGTCCCAGTTTTCAATAATTTTAATTAGTTTCATTAATAAACAAAACAGTCCTTATATAATTGGTGGGTCCCTCTCTGACGTCGCTGTTAGTTGATAGAAAAAGTTAACAACATTACCCTAGTTCGACAAGGTAGGACTACTCAGTCCAGTTGGCATACATTGAGGATAGAAGGAGTATTGTCTCAAATGTGAGCATCTATATCTAGACCTAGATCTAGATCTAGATTCTAGATCTAGATTAATCAAGGCAGAGCATTTACTTACACTTACATTAGGTAATATGTAACAACGGCTGGACAGAGATTTAAAAGATTTTGATTTTAGTCTACAATCGAACCTGACATAAAAGCAGCGAAGTAGCAAAAGTGAAGCATGATGATGTCATTATCATAAATATCTTACCGTTCTTTAACTTCTAATTAGATCTAGAATCTAGATCTAAATCTAGATTTAGATCTAGATCTAGAGCTATTTGTAAGTCTCTGTTCTCTATCTCAACTAATAAATCAGTATCCCCATTTTAGATTAGTTTTATTACTTTTTCTGGAGTGTGTTTTAGCTTTAGCACAACTTTCTGACGAGGAGAAAGAATGTGTCAAAACATGCATATTCAGTTAAATAAAAGAAACATCTTCCCTCAATTTTACCAGACAGAAATACCTCTGTTATTCTCCTGAAGTGTAGTAAAAAGGATCAGACTACCATCAGCATCACGTTTCTTTAGCGGTCACATTCTGTACGGCAGTGGCCATGTTACTCTCTGTTTACGGGGAAAACCCGTTGATAGTGGGGTGTTTCTATTTACGTTTGCAAACACCCATACCGATTGGTTAGTCTGCCCTTTAACTATTAAATAAATCTCTGTGATTGGATGGAACTTTCTGTCTGTTGGATCACGCTAAACGCGAGAGTTGGCGCGGAAGTACCACAATCCATTGCGCTATTTTGCAAAAGTAAGGATCGGAAGCAGCGAAGCGTGAAGCGACCAAGGAAGTGTTCGGTTCTACACACAGTGATCTTTGTGGATAATCGGATGCCCCTTGTATTTTCACCATGACAGAACGACGCAGCAAAAAGGAGAAGGAGATCGTGAATGACATGGATAATCATCTACGAGGTAAGTTACCATGTTTTGCTCTTCTCCTATTCTCGTGAGAACTCTGTTTACCTTCAGCTACCCTAAATGCAAATACGGGTGGGCTGGTTTGTGTCTTCACCGCTTCCTCGTCTCACGTCTGCTGCGAGGGTAATCCCTCTCCTACGACTCGCTTCTACTTCTGTGTATGCTCTACCGCTATAATTTATTTTACTCATCCCGTTATTTTTTCTCTGATCTTCTTTTTTCTTCTTCAGGGATCTTGTTTTGTTTTGTTTTTCTCCTTCGTTTTGCCATGTTCTGATTGCCTATCTAACCTGAGTCATTGAACTAACCATTAACTTGTGTCGTCCACTGTCTACACTCCCAACTTTCGCTTTCACAATATTTTTTTTATTAAACCAAAACAAAACCAAAACGGATTTTGGTTCACCTCCAGATTTGAATTTCACCAGCATTGCACTGTCACTTGCTGACCTAGTGCCCATGTATTTCATGTATTAAGCTTGTCGTATGTGTAGTAGATTAGTTGTGTCTGTCAGAACCACAGAAAAGGGAACAATCAATAACACGCGAGGGTTAATCACGTTTGTTTACATTCTCGCCCCCCGTAGAGTGTAGCCGTGCGCTACTACGGTAATAGTGCCATCAATGGCCGTTTGTGATTATCTGGGCTCAGCGTCGTTCTATGATCGCTTTCAATAAAGTGTGCGACCGCTGATTTTATAGCAGCGGCGGTAAATATTTGAGTTCTTTAGTCTTAAGTAGACTCTACTCTCATTTTGCCAAGCTGTTCCTGATGCTTGTCCTTTTAAAAAAAAAACTCACTTAAGTTCAATTCACTTTATTTTTTAAAGTTTATTACGGCGTACTATGCATGGTGTACACCAGATTTAGATCTACCTCAGTTGTGATTTCTGTCTGCTGTGCGTGAGCTTCACAGCGCTGAATGTAGCATGTGTGTATGTTTCTCTCATATTGATATTGATGACATACAGATCAAGTATATTATGCTGTTTTGGGGGAGGCCAAGTGTGGTGTACATGAAATTTGTACTTTGTCTAAAAAATTGTTTGACTATTTGCTTTAGCATGCAGCATCTTGTCAAATGATATAGATATAGAATCTAATGACAAAATTGTTTGGAAACAAATTTCAAGATTTATCAATGACAGTGACAGCTCTGAATTCTTGAAGTATTGTCATATTTGCCTGATCCTTAATTGGTTAGTCTAATGGGTTTTTTTCATTTGGGCTGACAGCCCTGCTGAAGTCATTATTGCTGTTATTTGTTTGTTTTAGTTAACAAACTATTTATTTGTTAAGTTATAAAAAGGACCAGATGGTGGTTGGAGGATGCCAGTGGTAGGTCCTACTTGTTTTTTTTCCCTCATGTGTCAGCCTATTTTTGTCTAGCTTCTTCCCTGCACCTTATAGCCATTATTGGGTCAATGTGTGCATATCTTTAAACTTTACTCACACTCAAGCTCAGAAAGAAGCATGCTGTGGGTAGTAATCTCTTTGTGTTGTGTAATAAGTGGGTACAAAATGTTCACCTCCCATGTTATCCTCATACTAGGGGATACTGTCTACTCAAGCTAGTGTACTTTAGTGTGTGTTCTGACCAATACACTTGATTAGATTTCGTACTTTGATTTTTTTATGACCTGATCTCGGACGTGAATAATGAGAGGGCAGTTGGAGGGTGCCACTGGTAGCTCCTACTTTCTTTTCTCTTATTTCCAGCTGACTTTGTTTTAGGTTTTATTTGTCCCTTACCCACCCCCACCCCCCTTCACCCC